GAACAAGAACAAGAACAAGAACAAGAACAAGAACAAGAACAAGAGGGGATTCTGCCAAAGAGCTCCAAATGGGAACAAGAGTCACAAGAAAGGAGCAAGGGAGAAAAGGTGACCACAGATGAGACGGCAGAAGGGAAGGCAGAAACCAAGCAAGTTCCACCAGAAAATCTTGATTCTGTGGGGCAGCAAGAAGCCTGTGCTCACAGAACGACAAGAATCTCTCTCAAATGCAATTAAGATTTTTATAAGAAGTTCTAGGTTTGATCCTCCCTGAAGTCCACTTTTACAGGCCAGACTCTGAGGCCACAAACTGTCTCCTCGTAATACTAAACAAGGCAGGCAATTGAGCCTCTGCTGGATCAGAATGTACAATAGTGGAATCCAGAGTATGCACTGGGAGAATGCGAGGGTAGGAGACAGAAGGTCTTCTGTGGGTCTCCCCCTGGGTAGCGGCTTGCGCCTTCCTTACGGTCGAGCACAACTTTGAAGTGGAGTCTACTAAGCTGCTTTAAAAACAAAATAAAAGGTACCATGACCTTCCAGAACACAGCGGCCACCCGGGAGGCCAGCAACAGGCATGTCTTCCTCCAACAGAAGCCCTCAGGAGGCCTCGTGGAGACCAGCACTCTCGCCCGCTGTGGCCCACCACGCCTGCAGATGCCTCACCTGGGTCGGTCGAGGGACACTTGCGGATGGTGAAGATCTGCCCCAGGTCCTCGTCCTCTTCTGGAAGGCCTTTCTGCAGCCGCTGCAGCTTGCGCAGGCTCTCGCTGCGCTGGTGCTTCATGGAGCGCACATGCTGAATGAGGTTGAGCTTGGCCTTGGTGGAGTAGTTGCACAGGACGCAGTGGTAGTAGCAGCTCTCGCCCTCCACGCCGCTCTCATGCTGCTGCAGGTGCTGCAGGGACAGAGGAGGGGAACATGCCCTGTGTCAGCCACTGGAAGCCTGCCACTGCCACGAATCCACCCGGACTGGTTGTGGACCGAGGCAGGCATACCACCAGGGGACACACTGGGACAACCAAAAGGGATGGTGGCCAATGATAAGGTTCCTCAGAGGGGGTGTCTTCCCCCACACTCACTTCTCTAGCAGCTCTGTGAAGATAAGCAGCAGGTGACTTCCATTCCTGTCTCCCCTAAAGGCCTTGCTCAAGTACTGGTAACACTGCTCATCGATGGGGCCCTCCCAGTGTCACGACTATTAAAGATTTCTTTCACTTGCCCAAGTGTCCTGCTTTGCTTAGATTGGGGGTCAGCAAACTGCAGCCTTTCTGCCAAATACAACCCACTGCCTGTTACTGTAAATAGAGTTTTACCGGAACACAGCCATATCCATTGACTTAAGTACAATCTATGGCTGCTTTTGCGGCATCAGAGTTGAACAGCTGTGACAGAGACGATATGGCCTGCAGAGCCTAAAATGTTCTCCAGTCCTTTACAGACAAAGTCAGCCCACCCTGCTTTGGTGACAGCCAATGGTCACCCCACCTGTACAGCAAGCGCCCTGGATCTGCAACACAGAGCCAAAGCTACCATCTGGCCCTTCCACCTAAAGGACAACTCAAGTTTTTGGTTTTTGTAACTACAGTCTACTGGGAGACTCCAAAATCAGACTTTCCTCTAGATTCAAAAGTGACAGGTAAATAAATTTCTCCCGACTAGGTCCCTATCAATAGTTCAAGATCGCCTGGCTCAGCACTGGTCAGCATCATCGGTCATCTGGTGTATCCTATGGTCACAGTGACGCTCTCTGTGTGTGCAGCAGACACGGTGCCAAGTCTGCAGCATGCAAGCCTGAGAGCCAGCAGGAAGCAGGCACACACGGGATTAACGTTTAAGATGCAAGAAAGGTCGCAGTCACAGAAAGTCAGCAGACCCCAGACTTCTGTGCTTACGAGAATTAAAGATCACCCAAGAGCCACACTGACAACATTCTGGGGCCTCTTGGGAATGTGATGAAAGCTATGGACCATTTCTTCTAATAGGCAAGGAAGTGATATACTCTGTCATTCCACATGACCCAGGGCAGGGGAAGGAGCTTTTCTACCGGCTGTGCATGAAGCAGAGAACCCACAAGCTTAAATGACTAAGCCAAGGTGACCAGCTAGTGAGAAAGACGAAGTAGAAGGCAGGGCTTACCTCCCCCTACCACGTACCCAGCATCCTCCTGGAGGAGGGAACTCGGATAATGCATGATCTGGTCTTTCCCTCTTTCTCCTCACTACCCCACCTCCACCCCAGTCACCCAAGTGTGGCCTAAGGAGCGAGCCAAGCATGCAGAGGGTCCCTCACCTCCTTTCTGACCCACAGAGGACCTGTTGGCTGCCCATGCCTTGACCATGGTTTCAGCCACTGCTAGAGTCTCTCCCCTGCCCAGGCTATCATGTGAGGTGCTCAGAAGCCGGAGTAGCTGGAATGTCCTGCACTTCCGGTGAGACTGTCCTTAGGAGCACTTCCTAGCGGGTGATACTGTGCTCAGATTCACACACTCACATGCCTATGTCCGACCTGTGCTCACAAAGTCTGAAAACCCCAGGAGTACATGCGCACTTTGTTGGAAGAAGAAAAAGGAACGCACCAATTAGGTGCCATAGCAATGCACTAAGGACCTTGGGGCCTTCAGACTGACTAACATGCTCCAGAAGAAACTGCGCTCACCTGCAGGTGTGGATGCAAAAGGTTCCACAGGCATCAGAGAACAATCCCGCTCGCGCAAATGGGTGAGTCAATACCCACAAGTGCTTAGAACCAGATAGATAAAATCCTTACAAGTAACAGCTGTCCTAGAAGAGTTTCACAACCAGGAGCTGGATGAACCAGTGAGACCTCAAACTTACATGTTAGGGAAACTGCAACTGACAATAAAAAGCTATTTTTCTTGAAATAAATTTGAGCTTTTTTAATGGTTTGTCTCCAGCGTTCCTCCTCAGAGACAAGGCTCCCTACAGAGGCCTTGGGGAGGACGGGGTACACCAAGACACTGTGTTCTGAGGCCGCACCCTGGGCGGAGGGGTCTGCTGGGGCGGATGCGAACGAAGGAAAGAACATGGTTGCCCAAGGACCTGTCCCTTTGCTTCTCCGTAAGCCGGCTCAAAAGGCAAAAGCCCAGCAGGACCTGGGAACCACGGTCTCATCTGGAACTGGAAGCAGGAAAGAGATGCAGGAGCTGGGAACTGTTGTCTGGGGCCTCCTAAGACCAAAAGAATGAACTTATTAAAGCTACTACTGAAAGGAGTGAATAAAAGCTAACAGAAAATAACCACAAGTCCAAGGCAACATGTTTTTTCAAGGGATTTTGGTTGTGTCATAAACTATGAAATCAGAGCAAAAATCACTGAAGTCTTACTTCCAAGTCCCCATTATCACCCCCCATGAAACAGGACTTCCTTGCAATAAGGCATGGGATTTTAAACAGAAAACTGTAATACGGACCTAAGAGTTGTATTCCAAATGGCGGGGGTTTCCGATCTCTGAGCCAGAAGAAAAGGGTAAGACAGCCAAAAAGAAATGAGTGGGAATTGAGATGTCAAATGTCCGGTCCTCAAATCCAAAGGCTCTTGGGTGACAGGGCTGTATAAATCCTGAACTGAAATAAACATCATACTAGGAACTTCTGCTTTAAAAAAAAAAAAAAAGACCGGTGTGATGAGACTATTCCAAAGCCACTCTACTTTCAAGCTCACGTTGGTAACTGCAGTCTCTTGGACTGCCCCAAATCCTTTTTTCTGTCACTTGAGAGCCATTTCAGGAAAAGAAACAGTCACATACGACAAACCACGGAGAAAAGGAAAGAAAACTAGGAAACCACAGCCATGATCTCTTTCGCTGATGCTGGTACAGGGGACATTCAAGGGCATCTCATAACAACCTACACAAAAGCTTAATTCAAACTTCCAGGCTTGTTCCCCTCTCCAACTTCCTTCTCCCAGACACTAAAAAAATTCCAGAATAAACTACACCTTGGTTTCTAAGAAATACTGGCTTAGAAAGGTTACAGCTCACTCCAAATCTGTACTTCCCACCTGAGTCTATTGATGCTGACCTACGTGTGACAACTCCCACCCCTGGTACTTCTTGGCCACCCAAGCTGGAGTAAAGAGACTCAGGGCTAGCGGTGGGGCCTGACCACTGTGTCCTTCTCCATTCCCCAACCCTGAGTAAGTTAATCCCTTGACCCTGCTGGCCAGGCCTGTCTCCCTCCTGAGTGGCACGGGCTGCTCCCCAGAACCCCACCCTGAGAAAGGCCTGACATGAAGCTGCAGGAGTGGCTGGACATGCAGGGGAGGACTCCCTGGGCAAGTCAGACAGCCAAGGACATGCCTTCCTCACCGAAGAGCAGAGATGTTTTCATCTGGAGAAGGAGGGAGAATAATTTGTTCCTGACCCAGCTAATTAGAATACCCTCAATTGGGATCACAATGTATTTAATTAAATTCACTGTAATATACGAAGAATCCACCAAGGCACAAATCCCAGTGGTATACTCAATAACACAGTTGCCTCCTTTCAGAGTTCTTGCTCTCTTGGCCAGGCAGGAAATTTTTCTCCCACACAAATCCTGAATTCCCTCATGTCCCACCTCTATAGCGGGGCTCTCCCATCTGGGAGGAGGGGAAACCCAGGTTGTGGTTCACTTTTTTCTCTTTATGTTCATGATTCTTCCCTCTTTCCTCTGTCAGGTTGGCAGTGTGGTTAGAAACCAAAACAAAACAAAACAACAACTTTAGCTGTGGTTGGGGCTGCAGCACACAGGGGCCCATGGGAGGCTGGGTGCAGAGCCCACGACGTGGGGTTTGTTTCGGTTCAATGCTAAGTGTCTGAAACACCCTGGACCCTCTGTGTGCGCCTGTGCCTTTCTCACCCTTCACAGATAGTTACGTTCAAAAACGCTCCTGGCAGTCAGCGGGAAGATGACCCTCCCGTGCTTCTGACATGCAAACATCTGAGGTTCCACATCTGTTTCTGTGATGTCCTTTCTCCGTCCAGTTCACAGGGAAGAACCCAGAAAAGCAAAACCTTCCCTGCGGTTGGAGGCACTCTGTCAGCCAGCCTGGCACATAAAGTGAGTGCAAAAAGCAAATTAATAATTAAAACAGAAAGGAAGGAAGAGGGGCCAGGCTGCATGGCTTCATGGGATTCTACCCCATTAATATGTTGGGCTCGTTCACCCTGGCCAAATACTGAAAGTCAAAGAGGGCTCTTGTTAGAAAATAATTCATCGTGAAAATCAAAAAAATGTGTTCCTGTTACTTGTTTCCCAGGAAAACTAACCAACTTCTGTCAGAGAACATTGATTTGTATAAATCTGGAGGGGCCCCGGCTCCCTCCTCCTCCCTAACACTAGGAAACTTCTAACATCTGGTTCTTCATGCATGGAATGCAAATATCGATCAGGTTTTGACACGGCCGCCTTTTTAAAGTCGAAGTGGACAAAGCGCATTCTGACACGAGCGCATACACACCTGTGATTCACAAAAGACATTTCCTTGGGGAGTAACACCTGTTCCCATCAACACACCCACGCCCACCCTCTCCTTGGGTACCACAATGTAACCCTATTCCGAGAGCAAGTGAAATGGCAAAGCTCTTTGATATGGGGAGGCAGCTTCCTGGCATGCCCCTCAGCAACTGGGGTACCTGGGGGATACCAGAAGAAAGCTCAATCACAGGATGTCCTGCAAGGCCCCTCAGAAACCTATGATTCTCTTGGGGCCTAAAAACCTGGAGGTCTCAAAACAGAAGAGGCCACCATCGGGGCGCCCCGCTGGAAGGAAAGGCTGCCAACCACAGCATGTCCCGGATTTCAGGCTCGCTCTGTCGGGAGAGGGTATAAAATATTACCAACAAATCCAGTAAGAAGGGACCAGGGAGAGATGGAAATTCACAGTTAGCTTGTGA